AGCCAGCGACGACGCGCTGCGTCTTCGCTAGGCAGCTTGATGCACTGAGTCGTTATCTAGTGCCTGTCTATCGCACTAGCGGGCCCAGCTTGCTCTGAGAAGCCACGACGGTAGCCGGGGGGTTTGCCCGCATTCTCAGCCTGTACTTCTCAGCTAATCCAACAGGAAGCAGCCTGGGAGCTCAAATCTCTGGTGTTTGTGGCAGCATCCAACCTTGCTACTGCCAAAAATATCGTTATTTAGGGCTTGGTGCTCTCGTGAGGCATCATGTTGATAGTTTCACCTGTGACTGCTACCAAGGGGGCCTCATGCATGGGTTGCACAGCCCCAAAAACGTTGGGATAGCATTCCAGTCATAAAAATGAGGAGCGATCAGGCCATTGTTTGTCACTGTTGTACAATATCAAGAGCTTGGGGGTTGAGGGCAATATTGTACTGGCCTGGCCAAGTGCTTGGTACACTTGAGCACAGGGCTCACCACTATCTTCCAAAGAGGTGACACTAATGTATTTCTGGGATGTTGCAGGTCTTCAGAGTGGAAGGACATGCACAAATCAGGACGTAGACGAGGAGGATGCTGCCAAGGAGCGACAGAGTCGCCAGATGTTGTGCAGCAGATGCGCTGGTGCTGGTCTCGGTCCTGGTGTGCGCACTGGCGACCGGGGCAACCGCACAGACAGTGCAACCTTCTGGTGAGTTGGCATAGCTCTTACCTAAAGCCTGCAGCCAAGGCGTATCCCCAGGTTCAAATTTACACATGCAGCTGGCTTATTTCTCCTGCCCTTTCCAGGCACCTTAGCTATGTCACCTGGCCCTTCCACCGCCATCGGGCGCCCCTCGCGCCCATCCCTGTCCCGGGGAGACAAGTTGACCCAGCCATCCCTTTGGTCGGTTGGGCTGTGGGGACCGGCAATGAGCCCCAATGACTCACCCAGTCCTCGGGCTCCTCCCGCGCCCAACCCCGTCATTTCACCCTCCACGAATCCCTTTGCCAGCGGTCCAGCCCGGATGCTGAGCAGCAGTCCGTCAGCCCTCGCGCCTGCAGCAGGACCCGCAGCCGGACAGAGGGTGCTCACATCAGCCCCGCCTGCAGATGTCAGGTCAGCGATCGTGCCGCACCTGGAGATGCAGAGCGTGCCGGGAGCCTTCGCACCAGCCAGCCCGGCAGCTGCTCCGCCCGCGCTTGTGAGCGCATTCTCAGTCACGCAGTCCTCCACCGGCGGGCCAGCCATGCAGAATGCCAGCTCAGTCCAGTCCACAGCAGCAGCCACCACTCTCGCTCAGACAGCGCCGGCCGTAGCCGGGCCCGCGGCGCCCTCGGTTCCACCGCCCAGTGTGGCGCTGTTCCCGGGGCCATCCCCAGGCGCAGGCACGGTGGTCGTCAGACCAGGAGTGGCACCCGCGCCAGCCCCGGGGCCTGTGCTGCAGCCTGGCGTATCCCTTATACAGCGGGCACCCGAGGCTGCCCCTCCCATCAGTCCTGCAGCGCCCACCCCCGCACCAATATCCTACGCCCAGTCCCCGCGCAACCCATTCGAGCGTTCGTCCCGCGTCCAGTCCTCGTCCCTCCCACAAGGTTGCTTCATCGCACGGTTTTCCTGCATCACCGTCCCTTCCTTCCGCTTGGTTCCCTGAGCAGTACTTGGGCCATTGCCACAGCCCAATACCTCCAGTCCCAAGTTATCATCCTGTGTGGCATATCAGAGGTTGATGTGAGGAAGGGCGGCATGCAGGGAACTAAATAGCTTGGTCATATCGCAGGCACATTCACGGGCGGAGATGTCCCTGTGGCGAATCTGACGAGCCCCGCCGCGCCAGGGGTGGCACTGGCGGCCAATGCGACGGCAGCCGGTCAGACAGTCCCAACAGTGAAGAGCGGCACGGGCTCACAGGTTGCGCAGGCCAATACGCCGGCTGCTGCGACAAGCGTGCCGCGCACTGTTCCTGGCGTGCAGAAGGCCGCACCGCCAACGCCTTCTGACGGCATCTCTTCGCTTAACCGGGTCGGGTCAGCCTCCGCCATGTTCCCCAGCCTGTCCGCTGCGCTGATCGCCCCGGCTGCTGCGCCGGCGCCCAACCCCTACAACACGCTCACGCCCGGCACGGATGCGAGCAAGCTGTCTGCAATGGTGGTGGAGCTGCTGCTGACCGGGCAGAACCTTTACCCCTTCTCTGAGGCGGACCAGTATGCCATCGCCACCACCGTCAACACCCTCATCAGCCCTTACCCTCACATTGTGGAGCTGAGCAACATTGGGGTGAGCCTCTGCTCCCTCTTGTGCCTCATGCACGCTTTCTCAAGCAACCCTCACATTCAATCCTGCAATGCAGTGATTGCCTGCAGTGATTTTCATGAGTAAAGGATCCTGAAGGTGCTGCGTGTCCCTGGGTGCAGATTGTGGCGGTGATCACTCCAGGCGACACGAACGGGTCAGGCAACGGCAATGACACTGCCCCGGACCTGGCTTTGATCGGTGTCCCGGTGGCGGCCCCGTTTCCAGCTGCGCCATCCAGCCCCTCTCCAGTCCCCGCTGTGCCGTCTCCCGCGCCCCTGGCTGTCGTGGCCCCCACACCAGCCCCCACAACCATCGCCCCCAGCAGCACCACGCCTGTTCCAAACCCCTTCCTGCCGCCGGCCGCGGTCGTGAGTAGTAGTGTGCCTCCGGCAACCACACCGGCCCCAGCCCTGGCTGCAGGCACGCTTATACAGGTGCGGCCCTGACCCCGAGCCTTCGCAAAGGTAGCCCTCGCGGCAATTGGCTTCACGATGTTCTGTGCCAATAATGCTTGGTTTGGGGACAGTGTCTAAAGATTGGTTGCTGTGCTGTGCAGCCGCCTACGGCTGCAAGCGGGCGCAGGCTGCTCAGAGCGTTGCCCAGGACCCTTCTGGCGGCGGCCAGGGTGCTTCTGGCGACGCCAACCGTGAGCTATGATGTGGGGGGAGCTCAGCACGTGGCTGTCAACTGCACTATTTACGCGTCCTCCAGGGACCTTGCAGCCATACAGACCGTCTTGAGCGACTCCGTGAAGGGTGGAGACTTTGTGCAGGCATTGAATAGAACAGGTGGGTCTTCCCTTGTGATATTGACTGCGCATTTTCGACCTTTAAAATTTGGTATTTGATGATGCGCAGGCTGCAATGTGTTTAAGGCTCCACATGCAAAGCATTGATTGTGGTGGTGATGCGCAGGACTGCTGGTGGAGAAGGTGGAGATTGTTCTGTTCCAGCAGATCGCCGGCCCTGTGGCTACGCCTGCGCCCGCTCCGGCCCCAGCGCCGCAGCTGGCGCAGCAGATTGTGGGCCTGCCTGTGACGACACTCCCAGGCGTTGTCCCTGTGGCGGCACCCGTTCCTGCGCAGCCCCATAGAGCTTCAACGCAAACCATCATCGGGTCTTCTATTGGGGCGGCTTGTTGCGCAGGTGCATATTTCCACCTGCTCAAGACACTGCTGTAGCAGCACTGGGAGCTATGGAAAATTGCATTGCATGCTGATTTGCCATGTGCAAGTTGGGAGTGGTCAAAACCGGAGGTCTGGGTCATTCTCAGACTGTCTGCTGATCAGAGTGGCTTTCCAGTTGCAATATTTGGCTTTGTGCGTCATGCAGGGCTTGTGGCCGCTCTTGCCATCTTCTACATTGTTAGAGCAAAGCGGCGGATTCGGGCTCGGAGAGAGGCTCAGCAGAAGGAGCAGTCTGATGAGGAGAAGGTGGGGCCTGATGCGGTTGGCCCTTTTGCAAGTCTTTGTAGCCTGCTTGGTCCTGGCTGCTTGACAGACTCAATTTCAGGACCATTGAGTTTTGGATCTTACATAGCCGTGCAATAAACCATCACGTACTGAAATTTGAGTCTCATCTGTGACTCACGCATCGCTGGCTGCACAGGCGCGGGGCAATGGGCACAGCAATGGCGGCTGGAATGGGCAGGAGGGCGGCGGTGGCGGCGGTGTCGGCGCTGCAGGCAAGAAGCTGCGCGCAGATGGCAGCATAAACGTGCGCACGGAGAATGTGAATGGAGGGTCGGGGGGCAGCTACGAAGGCATTTCGCCGGACAGCGTGTGCGGGGCGCAGGCAGTGCCCAACGGTCTCGCTTCACCGGCGCGGCGGGCGCCGTCGGGCATGTCGGAGTGGGGGGCGGCCAGTGATGGCATTGCAGTGAACTCGCGCGACCAGCTGCTGTCGCACCAGCGGGTCACCAGCAGCCAGCACAGCGCTGGGTCGCCCCACGCGCAGGTGTGCACTCTGTGCCGCATGTTATCGTTTGCTATTGGGGGTGTAATTGGGGCCTATGAGACATTGCCAGCGCCTGTCCCATATCTTCTGTTGTGTACCTATGCAAAATAGAGTCCCAGAGTCCCCCTGAACGAAGATTAGGGCTGACTTTCTAAGGGGACGCATCAAAGCTCAGCTTTTTTGGAATTGAACATGTGCATTTGTGCACTTGTGACTTATCTGAGGAGGTGTCCCGTATCTTGCCTGCAGGGTGTCTTGCAGCACAATGGGGATAGTGGGAATTACCAGAGACATGCCGGGGTGATCATGTATGATTCTGCTGCGGAGACAGCAAATCGCATGAGGAATTGTACTGACCCCCATCTGGTCAGTCCTCACCTTCTGCAATTCCTTCTGTCTGGCAAAGCTATTTTCTTCAGGTGTTGTTTTTTTGCAAGCTGATTTGCCGGGCTCAACTCAACAAGAGAAATCTGAGTGATGTTGAGGAGAATGACCTGATGTACAGGGGCGCAATGGGAGTGGGCAGACTAGCATGGATTTCCAGCGACAGGGGACACTTGCAGGAGATCTTAGCCTGCCGAGTGACAGCGACACTCCGCACAGCCGCACTACGAGTACACCCTCCTCAATCGGACGCCTGCAGCGCATTGGGGCTGCGCAGCTCTGGCAGGTGCTGCCCTGTCTGCAGATTTGGACATTGAAGGTTGGTTAACTATGAAGCCCCTGGAATGCTGTCTCCTTGATGCAATGCTGAGCAGGAGGATTGGTGCAGGTGCACATGGAGGAGATGCAGATACAGAAGCAGATTGGCGAGGGCTCCTTTGGCAAGGTGTACCTGGCAAAGTGGAAGGAGACGACAGTGGCAGTGAAGATCCTGACCAGCACCAGCGGCAGCTCAGATGACGACTTCCCGACGCGCCTGCCCAACCCACTGCTGCAGTCACTTGAGAAGGTGCTATCTCATGTCATTCTTTTTGTACTGCAAGAAAAACTGGCTTGCCTCTGCAAGGCATGAATGCAAATGTACAGGAGAGATAGCTGTCTGAATTTTTGGTTGGTTGTGAGCTCATCTGCAATTGGATATCAAGGAGACATGCTGATGCCATGTGGGTTTGGTGCACACAGGAGGCGGGCATGATGGCGGCCATGCGGCATCCAAATGTGGTGCTCTATCTGGGCGTGTGCCTGGACCCGCCGTGCGTTGTGACAGAGTACTGCGCGCGCGGCTCCTTGAATGACGTGCTCAAGCGCGCTCTGTACAACAGCAAGTACGCTGAGCAGCTGGACTGGAGGGTCAGGTGTGCCCTCGCTGCCTTTTCATTGTCTCTTCTTCTCCCTTCTGCTGCTGTTTTGATCAGAATGGAAAGGCAGCGCCTTCTCCTGGAGAGGCATTTGTATATTGGCAGCGATGTATCCAGCAACAGGTGTATCTCACAAGGCTGCGAAACACAGCTAAATCATCAAGCACTTAATGAGTAGAGTGTCTATTAAGAGGAGCTGGCCTGTTGCAGGTTGAGCATGGCCTTGGATGCTGCCAAGGGCATGAACTACCTGCACACATCAGACCCACCCGTCATCCACCGCGACCTCAAGTCTCCCAACCTGCTGGTGGACAAGCACTGGCGCGTCAAGGTTCGCGCCACCACAGCTCTCCCTGTGCCACTTTCTCATGGCGCATTTTCTGTTGTTATGCATCTTTCACTTTCCTGTTTCAAGGTGGCAGTGAGACGGCCAACAACGCTGCCGACACCATTTTCAAGAGTACCATGTATGTCAATGCAAGCTTTTGTATCTGTGTTTGATATTGAGGCATACACCTGCCAAGCAGGTTTGCGACTTCAACCTGTCGCGGGTGATGGAGGAGAGCTCGATCCTGAGCAGCATGGCGGCCACCAACCCGCGCTGGTTGGCGCCCGAGATCCTGGCGGGCCGCGGCTACACCTTCTCCTCCGATATCTACTCCTTCGGCATCATCCTATGGGAATTCATGACCTGGCGTGTGCCCTGGCACGAGTATGGCCCTTGGCAGGTGCGTGAGAGGAAGGGATCATCTCTACACAAAATGCTTGTCCATGCAGTGCATGATCCTGGTTACTTGGAGGGTTTTCATCAATCTGCTTGCACTGGAGAAATTCTCAAGTTATTTGGCCGCAGGTGGTGGCCATGGTGACTGACGGGCAGCAGCGGCCAGAGATACCGAGGGAGGAGGACTGCCCTTCAGGGCTGTTTCCTGGGGTCGACGAATACATTGAGCTCATGAGAAACTGCTGGAAGCAGGTATATTGGCCGGCAAAACACTTGTCTCTACTTGGCACTGCAGGAAGATTGCCGCACAGTGCCAGTGTTTCATGAACGGTAAGCTAAGGCTACTGCTGGTGTGTGCAGAACGCCACCGAGCGGCCGAGCTTTGCAGAGATCATCCAGGTGTTGCGGCGGCTGCTGGCTGACGAGGCCCGGCGCGTCCCCAACAAGTCACCGGGAGACGCAGCAGCCGCGCGCAGCCAGCAGGCATCCACATCCACCAGCTCTGCAGACACCGCTCGCCCAGACCAGGTAAGTAGACGGGCTTGTTCCTCGCGCAATGCATGGCCAGCCTCTGCGAATGGAATCAAGAATTTGCCCTATGCCCAGCTCTCGCTGCGAAATTTGGTGGCGGTCATGCTGAACTGCCCGCTGTGCCTTATGCCCTGCAGGGAAGCTACCGGGAGGGAGCGAACGGTGCTCAGGGGTCGGGGGACCTTGCTGTGGGGGGCCTACGCTTCCACATGGCGCACAGCAGCTCTGGCGACCTGCGCAACGGCGCGCAACCCCATGTTCCCGGCTCGCCCGGCCCCTCCGGCCGCAGGGACGAGCCGCAGCATGCGCGCTCTGAGAGCCTCGGCTCTGACACCCACCTGCAGGTGCCGCCCTGTACTCTATAAGGCCTGCCGCCACTGCCAGCGACCTGGCAGCATGCCGTTATGTTGGGCCACAGCAGTTTCCTGCATGACCATGTGTGTCCTGTAGCCCGTCGTTTTGGTAGCGATGCTTACTGGCGCATGCTGCATTCTTTGCAGGCCTTGGCTGGGCAACTTGGGTCAGGCAGTCAATTCGTGCCGGATGGCTTGCGGGTAGGGGAGTCGCCGCGATCAAGGGCCACATATTCAAACGAGCAGTATGGAGTCCCTGGGTACAGGTGCGACACTTCTGCATCAAATTGTCCTGGTCCGTTGTTTCGACAGCAAAAGCCCTTCTAAAGTGTCCCTTGCAGGCTTGCATTGTCCCATAACAGGACCGCACGTACAGTGCAGTAGGAGTTTGTTGCTATTAAGTATTGGACTGAAGCGGGGTGGTGGCGAGCAGGGACGGCGGAGGGGGAGCGGCGGGAGGGCCGCTGATGCGGAGAGAGGGCGCGGACGGGTCGGGGCAGCTGAGCAGCAACGGGGACGCGCAGTGGGACCTGGCGCGCATCCACGCACTGCTCAAGGAAGCACACAGCGACACCAGCTCCAACCCGGGCGCGGAGGGCGCGTTGTCGCCGCCCGACTCGCGCCTGGGCAGCCTCGCACGCGCCGGCCTGCCGCCCGTGGGCGAGAGAGACGAGAGGAGCGAGGCCGCCACGCTGCCGTCGCCCCGGAGCCACCCGCTCCCGGGGCAGCCCGGCAGCCATGCTGCAGCGGACGCGGATGGGGCCGCCAGCCGACAATGATTGCTGTCCCGGTTTGGCGCGTCCGCAGGAGCTGCGCTGCTGCACCTGAGAAGAAGTTTCTCTTTCTTCGCTCCTGCACGGGGCCGCCCAGGCTTTTGTACCTTTCTCGTCACTTGTGTGATGGACCACCTTTTTAGGGCCCTAGTTTGGGTTGGCGGGGGTTGCGGGTGTGTAACATCACCAGGAGCGCAGTGGGCCTCAATGTGCCCTTGTAGCCTAGAATGGCGCAGAGGACTGTGTGGTGAGGACTGATGCGACAGAGAAACTCGTTGTGACGTTGCAGCAGCCACAGCTGTAGAATTGGAGGGAAGTCCACAATTTTTTTTTGCCCTCATAGCAGGGCTCGCTCTGCAGGCGGTGAGCATTCAGCTCCCCAAGCAGCACCGTTGTGTGGAGGCTTGTTTCCGTTTCAATGGTGCTAGGAAAGGCAGCGGCCGGTATATTTGTCATATTGCTGCTTCTGCGCATCTGCAATCGAGCTTGGTTGGTAGAAGGTCCTTAAAATGACTGTAGAGATGGGTTGTTTACGTCTGACGCGTGCTGCAAGCGGCACACAGATTAAGTTGAAAGGTTCTGTTGATCAGCATGCTTCTGTAAGCAGATATACTTTTTCCAAGGCAATCTACTGACACCTTGCAATCGAAGACCAGTCTGCTTGGCACCCGCAAGCATGCAGTGCACCGCCGACAGTCGAAGTGCATAAGAAGAACTTGGCCAAACGTGCACAGTTAAAGCCACACAATGCATAAGTCATCGTGTCACGAACTTATCACAAACCCAACGTCACCATACTGTTCAATGAGCAAGCCAACAAATGCATCATTCTTCATCAAGCCATTCGCGTCATTCGGCGTCGCAACAAACAATTTATCAGACATCTACTTTAAACGCAAAACCAGATGCAGGCATTTTATTACTCCTCATAGTGGCAGAAATATCCCAGAATACTTCAAATTCAAGACAACGGTGGTGTGCACAATAGTTCAATTCAATGCTGCAGTAATATTCCATCGATACATATTCAAGTCAGCAGCAAGACTGTTGGTACAGATAGTGCAGCAAATAAATGACTCCACCGCAGGCACAGGGTGCCTCATGGGAGAGACTGCCCCATCTTGCCAAAGCAGACAGCGTAAACCGCAGCAATGCACACTGCACCCCCGACAATGTTGCCCAAGGTCACTGGCAGCAAGTTGGCGGTCAGGAATGTTGCAAAAGACACCTGCATGGCGAGAGGTCAAGCCATCAATTTTCCTCTTTTAATTTTTACATTCCTAGCAGTGCGCCCAAGAAGTTGCAGCAAGTGCCGCATTCATCTGGGACACTGTCTTGGCGGTGCCACACTGAAGATGCAAGGGCAAGCCAAGGGCAGCGGAATCTCACAGGGTGACGAAGCGCTGGGACCCCGTACCTTGGCGCCAAGCGCAATGCCCAAAGGGACCATGAACATGTTGGCCACAGAGTGCTCCAGGCCCAGCGCCACAAATGCAGAGATGGGAAACCAGACAGCCACCACCTTGCCGGGTGCGCTGGAGGCGGCATTGGCCATGTACACCGCTGCACTGACCAGCCAGTTGCACAGGATGCCGCGGGTGAATGCCTGCCGCAAACATATACATACACCCTAAATTGAAGCTCTTACATGATGTGAGTTACATGCCCCCTTGACCAGTTTGTGTGATGCAGGTCCTGACTTATTCATTCTTATCAGCCCATCAAAGCAAGGTTGCAAGGGGGTGCTCAGGATGCATGGGAAGATATTGAGGCCCAGCACTGAGGGCGTGCCTGGGAAAAGGTGAGGCTGGTCTTGGCCACCGCAACATTCAGGGGCGCAGCAGCTGTGGCGAGCAGCCCCGTGGACACCACGAGGTACACCATCAGCAGGGAGCCCACAAAATTGCCCAGGTAGGAGAAGAACCAGTTCTTTGCCAGCTGGTTGAGCGATGCCTTCCCCTCAAACACCTGTGCATTGTTGTTCAACCTCGACTCAGGTGCAAATAATGGCTGATGTAGAGTTCAGCCATGTGATTTGATGCTGCAGGACAATGACTCATTGTCAATGAGTAGTTTAGACCACGGTCACAGAGGCATGGGCAGAGGCAATGAATAAATGGGTACTTACAGAGGCAGTGACGAGGGCCGTGTTGCCAGTGAAGAGCTCGGCGCCGCACATGAGCACCAGCAGTAGGCCAAAGGGCAGGCCAAAGGCGCCGTACACCATCTTCTGGAGCCCTGGGTTCGTGGATGCCAGGCCAGGGCACGCACCACCCACAGAAAGGGCCAGGAAGCTCCCAAAGCCAATAAACGCGCCCCCAAGAATGCCCATTATAAAGGTCTTGGAGATTGACAGTCCTGCCTTGGTCTGTCCAGCTGCAGTTGCCTGCAGCGAATGTCACCCCTCAAGCAGTGTATGGGCTGTTGTTAAATGGCCTGCTCATGCTGCACGCCTGTACAGGTGTACTAATCAGTTTGTGCCCATCCTATTCAAACCTGCACACCCAGATCGGTGGGCAGGAGACTCAAGAGCAGCCATAACGCACACCTTTGCGAAGGCTACTGGAGGTGGGGACAGTTCAGGGACAGGAGCAGGAGGGCTGGGCGCTGCAGGGGCTGCTGAGGAGCCATTTGTGCTGAAAGGAGCGGTAGCTGGCACCGGCACGGCACTTGCTCTGGTCAAGCAACGCCTGGATTGCGATGTCCGCCTTGCACCTGAACGGTGTAAGCAAACACGACTATCATCTCTTCTCATTGCTTGCAGATCAACTGCAGTTAAGGCCGGTGTACGGTCTCGATGCTGATGGCAGTGTCATACGCAGGATTGCTTCGCAGTCACAACTGCTGCGATACACTCACGGCGTCAGATGTATGTGTTTGGGCACAGATACCCATTTATGCACAAGAAAAAGCGCGTTGACGACGTACCGCGCAGGATCTGTGGACCTGCACCACCGTCACGGGACAGCAGGCGCCCCGGAAGCCGTGTCTGAGCGAGTGCAGTCATGTCCATGATTTATCAAGTCGTCTCTCAGCAATCGTGGTGTCTAGCGGGAATTTCACGCAGTAGAGGGAGCCGTGCAGGGCAATTAGGGCAACCACATGGCCCATGTGACGCATCCATGTGAGAGGGGATTCCAGCAGAAGGTGCCTTTTCCGGTTGAGAAGGCTACTTTCTCTTCGGGGAGCTGTCTCGAGGGCCAGTTTTCCCATAGCCCTTGTAGCTGGCTTCCTAATCTTGCACATGAAATACAATGCTACAACCCGTACAAAAACATATTTTTACACTCATGAGGCAAGTTGCTGCCAGCCAGTGGTCTGGGTACCCTGTCATGGCTGAGACAAAACGGCAGTCAGCTGGGACCATTCCGGGATATCCGGTACGGTATTGCCAGTGGCACTCTCACTCGAAAACTGTCACATGAAGCTATGAGCATGCTAACTATAAGCATCGGCACCATAATACTGTATCTCTTGCTAACTGTGCATGCGTTCTTCTTCTAATTACGCTAGGCGCCTCTCAGATCACACAATACTCTCTCACACAACCAAGTGAAATTTGACCACCACCACTGAAATTGCTCCACCAAACGTTGAAATTAGTCACAACTCCTCGCATTGGGAGGACACCCACGTGGGCTGGCCACGCAAGGTCAGAATCCCCGGACATTCCATCGGCTCAAGCCAGCCCCGCAGCTGCGTGCGGCTGGGGCAGCTTCCGCAGATCGCTGCGCTGCTCGTCCAGGAACCAAGCGGGGATCAGGGTGGCCGCGTCAGTGTACAGGTCCTTGTATGTGTTGCGCACGGTGCCTTCCGCCACGCCGGCCGCCTGAGCAATGTCGCCCGGAGTGACTTGCTTGGAGGCCTGCGGCAGCAGGCAGATGGTGTAGATGACGGCCGCGGCGACAGACACCGGCGACTTGCCATCCCACGACCGCGCGCGAACATCCACCGCCCTGTCCCCATGCAGCCACAACTCATCAGCTGCCTAGCGCCCGATCAGGTCCCTGGCCTCAGAACAGTTACAGCAGAACTCCAGGAGGTTAATGCGTGTCGCTCGGGATATGAGCGATTGGCAGGTGCACGCACCCAGCGGCATTGGGGTTGCGCGGCACCGCGGCCTCGGCCATCTCCTCAGCGGCCTTCATGTCCCGCTGCGTGAGCCCCAGCCGCGAGCAGAAGCGGCGCACAAAGTCGGCCGGGGTGACCATCTCCATCTTCTCATCCAGCTGCTTGGTGATCAGCCTGTAGCACCGTTTGATGTCCTTGATGGAGCCGTCAGCAATCACCGCCTCCATCTCCTTGAACGTCCGCGGGAAGCCCACTTGCCTGCGGCAACAGTATTGCAGGTGTCATGGCAAGCTTCCACGAAAAGCAGAGCACCACAAGAAGGAGCGTAGAGAGTCTAGCAGTATAAAAGGGAAAGCCACTCACCGGCAGGCAATCAGGGTCACTGCTGCGCACACAGCTGCAATGCCTTTTCCCCTGATGCCGCGCTTCTCCCAGGTGTTCTTGAACAGCTCATTCCCCCTGTCCTTGCACGCCCTGTTCAGGCCCAGCGCTTCGCACAACCTCGAGATGTGGCCAAAGGCCCTCAGCAGGGCCTGATCAGGGTTGGAGCCCTGCGCATGCGCCCGCTGCAGGTTCCTGGTCAAGGTTGCGTTGCTAGCCCCCTTCGTTGGCGCTCCGATGACTGTGCTCAGGCCGTTCGTCAGCAGGTGGTTCGTGGGGCCACCCACACGGCTGGGATCTGTAGTATCCCCATCCTGGACCGCCACACCAGCATTGCTCTCCAGGAGACAGGCTTCGCTGGATTGCTAGACACAGAATTGCTTCACATAGAGGCGATCAGAAGGCCAGGGTATGGCATGGCGGACCTTGTCACCGAAATTTCTCCATTCTGAGCTTTCGTCGATGACATGGGACTCGGCCACTAAGCCACAGCCCTGCAAAGGGTCAGAATGTGTGAGACACAGTGACTTGCATCCTCACTATTCCGCGACCCACCACCTTCCCATGTGGACGCAAGGGATCACCGTGCACACGAGGTCTCCTTGTGCGTGATCCTCCACAAAATCCGAGCTACCGCAGTCTGCGCAGGTCTGCTCATATCTGAGTCTGATCCCATCCATTGGAAAGGAGGGGGCTACTGCATGCAAGCCCTACGATGTCATGATTCCTTATGCTTGGATCTGAAATAGAGCTCCGAGATTGAGCAAGGTGAGCAAAATAGCAGGCTCTTTGCTGGGGATTCTTCTGAGTGGCGACAGTATCAGTTAGTGCGTGCAAACTTCTACACGATTATAGCAGTCTACGTATGGGCTCAGACACCCTTGAGTTGACTCTGAAAGAGCACCCTGCTGTGGATCTGATGAGAATCGCAAAACCTGGAAAATTAAGGAAATGATGTGAAGGTGGCACATGCGTGGGCAGACTACAATCACAGGCGATTCTCCCAAGCCGCCGTGTGCATTCATACCAAAATTTCAGCAGTTCTACTTGGCATTGCGGGGAGACCTTGGCAAGATGGTGCGTTCAGCTTGGAGCCATATCTGGAGATCACTCATGATTCAGATCCTTGTCAGTTGTTTCTGCTGATGGCTGTACAAGCTTTGATGTGTTGTTTATTTGGGCAGGTGAACGTCCCGAAGACCAAGCGGGCGTTCTGCAAGGACAAGAACTGCAAAAAGCACACTGTTCACAAAGTGACCCAGTACAAGACCGGCAAGGCTAGCTTGTATGCACAAGGTCAGTGAGATTCCTTCTGAAGACTCGCAGCTGGAAATTAGAGCCCACAGCAGGCTGAAATTGGAGAGGAACGATTCACTAAACAATCGTGTTAAAATGAAGTATCATTTGCTCGTTTGCAGCTGTCCTTGATCTTGATCAGCTCAGGAGGATGTATGGGTCTCGCTTTGTTTTGAAGCAGGACAATAACTGCATCTCGTGTGATCTTCATACATCAGTATGCTGCTGGAGGCTGCGCAGCTTGTATGTGATTTGTGCAAGGTTAATTTGGGGGCTGCACTGTACCTGTAATACAGACGAGCCCCAGGAACGTGCTTCCAGGTGCAGTGTGTGTCAGTTGATGGTTTGATTTGATGCAGGTAAGCGGAGATATGATCGCAAGCAGTCTGGATATGGTGGACAGACAAAGCCTGTGTTCCACAAGAAGGCTAAGACTACCAAGAAGATTGTGTTGAGGCTGCAGTGCTCAGTGTGCAAAGCCTGCCACATGCACCCCATCAAGGTGCGTAAATAATGTGGACAAGTGCCATGACGCCCTGATGTATTTGCTGTGTCGTTAGCAGCAGCTGCCGACTCCTTGTGTCTGTATTGTCGTCACGGGTCCAAAACACAATCCAGCTCAATGATCTTTTCTGCATATGTGCACGCAGCGATGCAAGCACTTCGAAATTGGAGGAGACAAGAAGAGCAAGGGCGCCATGTACTAGAAGCTTGGTGCGCTTCTGTTGCCCAAGAGCTGGGCGGTGTGATGCATGGCGATGTTTGAGTGGTCAGTGGCTTGGCACGTTCCTTACCATATGGAATTGACTCGGACGTATCTGTTTCCAATTGGGTGACACGATGACTCCACTGTATGAGCTGCAGCTGTATCTTGTAATAAATTACTCTCTTCATCCATACAGCATTCATCCGTGGGAAATAGATGCAGGCACAGCAATAATCTCGAAGGCCATCTATTCAATGCAGCACCAGGCATATCCTGTAGTAGTGTCCAAGTAGTGCCCCCATGATCGAGCCAGTTGTGTCTTTGCATCCTGCCCTTCCTACCAGGTGCTTTCATACTTAGCAGGTCAAGCTGGCGCTTTAGGGTCCAGTGGATTACATATCCTTTTGTTGAATTCAACAATCATAAAAAAAATCACCATGATGGACCTCATTGCTCTCATGCAGGCCTCCTTAATTTTAAACCCTTGAAACGGTTCACATATCATCACACAAAAAAACTACATGTATTTTTGTGTGATTGTCAATGCCTACTTCTTTGGCATTGACAGTCTTTCGTCGTGCAGCCTAAGCCTGAGGCTGATAACAGCCAATTGCAATAAACGAGGCAGCCCATCTCCCTACTTGGCGTCACACTATCTTGTTTGTCTTGCATCTGTCTTAAGCTTAGAAAAATTCTCTTACTGGCAACAACAGATTTCTCCTGGTCGGTATCTCCTCAAGGACTTTGACACAACCAGGCAACTGAATGTTGATATTTCCTTCTACCGTTTTTGATGGCAAAGCAGACCTGCTTGTTGTTTTTACCCCTTTTAACAGGGCTGACGTCACCAGCGCATGTGCCCTATGTCTGTCATCCAGACAGTATCATGCAAGGACCTGAACATGCATTCCATAGAATCTCAGTGGGATGCAGTACATATGCTACGCATTAATGCACATCACCCTTTGTTCCAGCGCATGCAGATGCGAACGCGACAAACCAGGCAACAGAGCTTCTCTGACTGCAACAGAAAGACAGCGAGAGGGTGCACCTGTGGGCATAACTCTTTGAGCAGTCGCCATTGGCAAGGGCCCATTGGTGCTGCCTGGCAACCGTTAGGGAAGGTGCAAGAGCGCTAACAAGCGGCTCCGTGTGCATGGGTCCAAACACCAGCTCGCCAAACCTTGCTGGCGTCACAGCACACTCTCCTATAGGATTTCTACTGATCCTGCTTTTGTGCACGTGCGTTAGTCACGTTCACTCGTTTGTACACTCTCTTATAGCCCGCCCACAGGGGACACGGTTGGCCAGGAGACTGCCACTTGCTGCCATGGTGGGGCTTGATAACACCATGAGTTGGCAACATGTAGCACCCCCACTGGCAAATACGCTTCAGGACCCCCAGCACATGGTCCATAAGCTCATCATAGATTATTGGCTGCAGCTGGTCTAGGCCAAAGCTCATCAGGTCCACAGCATTTGCCGCCACTGCTAGTTGCAACAAGTCAGGGCAGCATCCTTCTCCCACTGTGTGCTTTGCACTCAGCGAATGCTGTGTCATATACAGAAAATATATCCTACTATGCCACCGTCCTTCTTTCTGCTATCGACCTTCAATGCATGCATTTAAAGCAGAATTTAGCAGGCAATCCGAAACAAAGTGTCCACACTTTCAGCATTGGAATGCGAGAAATGTGCCAAATGCCATGCTGAGCTGCTCCGCATCCTTCACAGTGTTCACTTTGCGCTCTGCTTGTAACCGCTGAGGTCCAAAATCTGGGTGCCTGCATGTACCCAGGCATTCAGCAGTATAGCAGTCACTCGGAGCAAAAGCCACACATACGCAATTCTGCAGTCCTGCCAAGATATTTTTTGAGGGTCGTGCTGCTCACCGCACATATGACAAATCCCCTTGGAATAGGCACATGATTGGCAATATTGCGCCTGGGCGTCGTGGAGAGTGGTTTTGCATGTGACGCACTTCTGTTGGTACGGCTGTAATCTGTTTGGACGGCAGACAGGAGAGGTCAGCATGTCAAGCCTGAGCATGCCTCAGCGAGTATATGTAATGCCCTGTGACCCAAGATCTCCAGAGAGCAGTGCACCCCTTTGAGCATGCCTAATCTTCTCCCTTCTTTGCAAGCTATGTAAGCGCAAAATCCTACCTTTTCGACTTGCTCAATAGTTTGTTCTCGTTCAGTTTCCTCTTGTCAGTGCTGCTGCCCTCCTTCCAAGGATCTGGTGCAGGTCCTCCCTGCGTGTTTAGTTCTCAAAGTTCACCCGCCGCACGATGCGCAATACAGAACAACGCACAGCGATCCATCTGCATGACGTACCTTTCTGAACTTCTTCTCGCACTTAGAACAAACCATTGGAGCTACGTTTCTGCTTTATGGTCGGTTGATTACATCCTGCCCGAGCCATTTCCTGTCATGTTGACGCCAGCACGAAGAGAATGTGCCGCCAGATGCTGAATAAAGGACACAAATCTATTGTTCGGAATCCTGGACAAGCTTCAATGCTCTCAATGTCATGCTCATTGTGTCGAAAATCAGGGGGTTATATATAGAAACCCCTGTGTTCCGGAGGGGTGGATAATATAATATCTTATATTTCCAGGGAAAGCTCTCCTGGACCTTTCTAAAGAAAGTTTCTTTCCTTTACTAGAGTAATATTAAAACTGGCTGTTTCCAACTTAAATCAAGCAGATGTCACTGCGTAGAGGAAATGAGTGCGCCTCATGATTCCCTTTGAGGTAAAATTGAAGTAGCATGTTTGTCGCTTAGACGGAATGCTATTAAGATTGATACTTCGATCCGTCCTTTTCAACGCGAAAGCTATACCTGGAAATGGGCTGTGCTTCCTCGAAGCCTCCTCCGTCTAGGGTTCTGTTAGGAAAGTCAAAACTTACACTACCGATTCACCTGCAAGAGTTCCTGCCAAGAAAGGGTCCATTGTCAAAAGCAGAGTATCGAAGTCGATTGCTCAGCACTGATGGGGAACAAAAGGTGGTCCTTGAGAAGGCGGGGCTTGCCTTGAGATATGCCTTTGTCTCGCAGAGGGGGTGAGGACTGTTCAGTTTGCCTATGGACAGTGCACATTTTCGACGTGGTAAAGATGGCAAAAGTTCGCGATTGATCGCCTGATCGTGTGTGCAGATTTTACCCTGAAGATCTTCACAAGGAGAATCAGGTGTGCTGAAGACATCTAGTACATGTCTACATATGTCTCCACATAAAGTTGCACTCACCAACTCTTATGGGGACAGGATGCTGTTTGTGTATACCGGCGCTACGGTGGTGACCCAAATCAGCTCTTCTTTGGGGTTTTTGATGGGCATGGACAGCAAGGGACCAGCTGTGCCCAGTTTGCAAAGGACCAGGTCTGTCAGTGCTGTATGTCCCTGTCTTTCCTGATGCAGCTTGTCCTTGTCAAGGTCGTGGTGAGTGGTGTTGTCCAGCACAGGTACCCGCCATGCTCTTGTCCAACGCTCACTTTTCCACCGACCCGGTCAGAGCCTTCCGAGAAACGATGGCCGAATGTAACGAGCAGTTGCATGCCAGCTCTATAGAAGATGGCCTCAGCGGCACAACAGCTATAGCCTGCCTTGTGCGTGGCCGAACTATCTATGTTGCAAATGTGGGCGACTCAAGGTGCGAATGAAGCACATGTGTTCCTGTGACTGCACATGTGAAGACCACGGGAGCAGGACAACAATCCTTTCTGCTGACAGGGCTGTTCTTGCGGAGCGTGTGGATGGTCAGTTGATAGCGAGGCCTCTCTCGCATGATCACACTCCATTCCGGTGAGCTTCAATGCTGCTACAGACTGCTGAAACTTCTCAGCAATTAGACTGTCTATCAGCTGATGAGTTATCCCACGGCAATGGAGCTCATCATCTACAAGCCACTCTGATCAGTACAGCTTGCAGGGAGGATGAGTGTGAGAGGGTGAAGCAATATGGCGCCAGGATCTTAACACTGGACCAGCTGGAAGGAGTGAAGGTCTGTACACCTATGCACTCTTTTACCAAGTTTATTCCAGCAATCAACAAAATTAGTGAACAGTCGTTTCACTGTTGCATCTTGTTCGGCTCGTAGGACCCAGCAGTGCAGTGCTGGAGCACAGAGGAGGAAGATGACGGCGATCCTCCTAGGTTATGGGCGCCCAACGCCCTGTATCCCGGCACAGCATTCACAAGGAGCATCGGCGACAGCTGTGAGATCCTTGCAACAATACGATATGGCTTCCAAAGTTGTGTGACATGATTTCCTGCGATACTTCCTGGAGTCCTGCAGACGCCTCATCTGCAGACACCTATATGTATCAGCTCTATTTACTTTGCTTGTGGCTGCAGTGGCAGAGCAGATAGGAGTGACAGCAGAGCCGGAGGTGGTGACATGGACACTCTCTGGAGACAAGACTCCCCTCTTGATCATTGCCAGCGACGGTATTTTTGAGTTTCTACAAAATCAAGCAGTCATACAATTGGTAAGCTACACCGTCCAGTGTCCCAATGTGACATAATGTTTCAGATGAGGAGCTGGCTCTCTAGAAAGCTAATTTATAGAGTGATACTGCTTGCAGGCGAGCAAGTATGACGATGCACAGCAATCGGCAATTGCCTTGGTTGCAGAGGCATATCGGCTCTGGCTTGAAGTGGAAACCCGCACCGACGATATCACGGCCATTGTTATCCGTATTGAGGAGCTTGAACGAAATGGTGGGTACGCTCTGTTCTCTCCCCTTCTGATAGTTCAAAGACCTCGTGTCAGTATATGCTGTGTCCACTCACTGTGTCCACTATACTGTTATTTGCAGGTGAAGCTATGTCCACATGACCGCTGTGGTTTGAAGGAACTCTCAGCACTTGTCATCTATCTCTGCTGCACTTACTTCTGTATGCTAACAAGGTTTGCCTGCTTTCATGAATTTTGCTTGCATTACCTCCTGTTCAAAGACAGCTATTGGGCAGCTGTTCATTTTTTAAAATTTTTGGTCACGGACTCTACAATAAAGGATCTGTCTTGCACTGTAGGAAACTGCCTGGGCTGACTGGACGCAGGCGATTTTGGCGAACAGGGAGAACTTGAAGTATTTAGAAGTCTAACATGTTCCTTGTACAAGGAAACGGTCCCGCTTGCCTGTCATCAGAGTGCCTTGATGTCCCTGCCCCAAGGTGCTGGCATGCATGATGGCCGGCCCCAACGCCCTGATGATCTTTGCCTCCGGTGGATCCTCTGTGGTACCCTTTAACCGTTCAGCGCAACTCAGGAGGTTTGGAAGATGGGCACATTATCATGAGAGCCGTTGGCCCTTGGACAGCGAAGGCTGGGAGCGATTCTCATAATGTGCCTCCTGCCACTGTCCAGACTGGCAGCAGATGCCTTCAAGCTTTTTCATGTACGCGCATGATCGTTGGCCACGGGTCCAGTCGTACAATATGTTGCCAGTGGAGCTCAACAAACGTGTGCCTGCAGCCTGCAGCATGTATATGTCTGTTTGTAAATTATCTGGGAGGCCTTCATCTTATTAAGATCAGCTTTTTAACAGTCACAAGCTGTTCTAAAGTTTAAGCTACCTAGCTGCCGAACTGGTTCGGCACCTGCCAATCGTCGCACGTGCGATGCTCGAAGGATCCAAGTCGAGAAGAGCGGATGCAAGCTCCACGAGCAATACTACGATTGCAAAGCGCCATTACAATTTCCTATGTGCGATTGGTCGTTAAGAAAGCGCATCGCCGGCGTGAGGACGGCGATGCCCGAGTATTGCTAGCCAGGATTCTGATGAGAAAGAAATAGCTACACTCTGAGGCTCCAAAAACGAGAAAAACAAGCATTTACCGTGTTTTTTCACAATGATACGATAATTAATTGAGAAAATGGTGCGGGTTCGACTTGTTTTCGTTATGGGAGTTCACTTTTAGCTTTCCGATGTATTTGTAACTGCCCTGCTTAGGCAAAGTGGAGATCAATAGATATGCTGATTAATTCGTGGGATTCATTCCAGGCGCAAACGCCCACGACTCCTGCATCATCTGTGTTTTCAGGCCTCCTCAGCAGGGTGATGATTGTTCCCCCATCAACCACGTGCACACAATTTCAAAACCTTTCTGTCGCCAGTAGCACCTCTCAAGATCGTTGTAATGCAGGGACCCGACACAGAAGGCTCCCCACGGGGCCAAAGACTGTTGAGAGGCTGTGCTACAGTGTCACATTTGCCACCGGTCAGTCCTCCTTCCAGAGACTCGAATGCATTCTGATCCCTGCTGCAAGCTGCAAGAGGATATTGAATTCAACCCGGGTGTGACTGCAGGTGATGGAAAAGCCTCCATCACCAACGACAGAGTTGGCAAACCAGAGGATGATGAGGTCCTTTGAGAAAGTCAAAGCCCAGGTGGATGTGGACCTGCTGCAATTCAGCAAAGAAACGAAGATATTGCTGCATCAAGATGCTAGTACTGAGGTGCACCAGCATGGCGTCCTTTCCAGGTGGGCATACCTTTGGTGACAGATGAGTGAGGAGCGCACATGAATTTCTTCTGGCAGCGTTGAATATGGCAGGTCGTCGTGCGTGTGACTCACACTGGAAGATCCCTGTGCAATCCTCCTCAGGGATGTACTTGACTGATGTGTGGCTGGTGCAGTCTCTTGAACATTGTGGACTCATGCCTGGAGGAGGACCTGGAAACCTTTAAGGCCAATGTGCAAGATCTCGTGGATGAGCTGGAGGAGATGCGGCGCGAGTGCAGCATCATGATCCATAAGGGCCATGTGACTCGTCTTTTGTTCATCATAACCCGCTGCTCACGGCTGGTGCTCACTGGTGAGGCACCCACACTTGCGTCGTCCTGCCTGCCCTGTGTCTGGATTATGCTGCATGATAATCACACATGCCTTGAGACATGCCATGTGCTCCATATAAGTCTGATGATGTCTGTGCAGAAGAATCAAGCGCTGTGGGCACCCGTGCACTCTACATGACTCAGCCCAGGAGCCGGTTGGGGAGGTCTGCTCGACAGCTCACAGACATTCCTATGAGCAGCAACCGTTCAAAGATGCACAGGTTGCCAGCCACGCCAGCAGCGCTTGGGCGCTCCATCACAATGCCTTCCAGGTGAGGACCGACGTCGGAGGAGTCCTGAGCTATTTTCTGGTTCTGTTTTGGTGGGTGGGCACCTGATTGTGGCCATCCTGTCTGTAGGAGAGCACCACGGGACATGGCTGAAGCTGAGCCAACGCCCCCGGCGGCAACGCCCGCCTCCCAGCTCATCAGGCCCTCTCTGGACATCAGCCTTCTTGACACCTCAGCTACCCCTGCCTCCGGCCACGACTTCAAACGGTCGCCGCTGGGTCGTTCTGTTGTCACAGCCCTGGAAGCCCAGCTCGACAGGGCAAGTTGCTTTTGCTTGCCTCTTGATTACCTGTGGCCCTGCTTGAGACAGCCAACATGGTGCATCCTGTGCAGAGCCACTTAGAACTGCTGCCTGATACACTGATGTTCGCATGTCAGGTGGCAGAGCAGAACCCTCAGCAGGCACCAGATCAGGCAGCAGAATCAGGCGCCTCCATCAGAACCCCTGCCGTGCCGCGTAGCTCCACACCGAGAAGAAGCAGAGGTGTGCTGCATGCGTTTTCCTGGCCTGTTCTATTGCCGCAAAATTTGCTGCCATCCTGTCAGCCAGTATGGTGGCAATGAGACACTGTGGTGCTGCAGGCATCCTTGCCCTGCTGCGCAACCTAAAGCACAGCAATGAAGCGGCCTCACCTCCATCACGACGGAGGCCGGACCACCTGAGCAGCCAGGATGCGCCCGGCTCAGACACTGACAGAGCAGCCTCCCCATCACAGAGCATGAGCTCGTCCCCATTGACGCCGCGCCGCAATAGTCCCTTGCACAAACAGGGGCTGCCGCTTACCGACCGGCAGACCCCTCCCAGACCATCACCAGGCTCAGAGCAACGCGGCCGCCACGGGGAAGGGCCGCCCATGGCGCTGGCGCAACCGCTGTCCGCTGGCCCGCATAAGGCGCGGTCGAGATCATTGTCATATCCCCAGCCCAAGCTGCGGCTGGACCCTCAGCGCCCGGCGCCCTTCCCCTTCTCTCCCGCCTCTTCGCCCGAGCATGTGGTACATTCCTACCCCATCTTTGCATGCTTGTGCAATTGTAACACTGTCACTGGAGTCCTTTCATGTACTTTGCGCTACCATGTCAAATTCTGGGTGTGTCTCCATGCGTGAGGTCCCCTGGTCTTTGCACCGCAGGCCCGTGCATGGGAGCATGACAGAGATGAGGCAGGCAGCAGCCAGGGCACACCACAGGCCAGGCGGCAGCACACTCCTCGTCTTAACAGCCCCGACTCAGGATCTGGCAGCCCACAGAGCTATGATGCCTCGCCTCGAACCCATGTGGTTTGCAGGATCTGCGAACAGATGGTGTGCCCTGCGCACCATGCCTAATTTTCTGCACTGCTTTACTCTGTGGGCACTTGAAGCGAAGGCCTCAACATGTTCATTAGTTTTTTTAGGATTGTGTCAACTTTGTAGCTTGACGATGGGTGTGCATGCATGCAGGTGCCTTCAGAAGCTATAGAGCGGCACAGCACTGTTTGTGCGTTCTTGGAGAGGAGGATTGAGGCTGACACTGGCCTGAGCGACAGGTTGACAGCCTTGGCGACACTCACTGCTGAAGCGGCTGGGGAGCATGCCGCAACTCCCTTCCTTGCGCTGTACACGTGCTTGGAGTCGGCATGCAGAAGGGTAGCAGACCTGCCTGCAGGAGGGGCTCTGGAGCCCTGCCAGGTGCTGCTCGATCTCACACTCACGTGAGAGTGTTGAGATGCACAAGAACCTGACATGCTCTTCAGAGGAGTACTGTGGTGTTCTTGCATTCCTGCTGAAGTGGGGCGTTGTGTTGCTCGTCAGGTGGCATTGAGCAAGGTGGAGGAGGCGTTGGGCAGAGATCTCTCTGGAAGCACGCAAGCGCCCAGCATCACATTCCAAGCTTGTGCCCAACGGGCGCATCACTTGATCAGCTTGAAGGTGCACTCGGATCCGCAGTAACAGCTGTCGCTGCTATTGTGCGCATCAGACTACAAGTGACAGGTTGTCCGGACTGTTGACATTGGACCTCTTATGGCGTGCAGCTCGATGTGCTGCGCGAGGCTCTGGCATCAGAGGGGTCTGGCCCATCTGGCAGCTCTGCTGGGACACATGCCAGCCACGTCAACGTGAGCATAGAGGACTTTGAGGTCATCAAGCCCATCTCACGCGGCGCTTTTGGGCGGGTGTACCTGGCTCGCAAGCGCGCTACCGGTGACCTCTTTGCCATCAAGGTGAGTAATTGCTGAGCCTCAACCTGTGTCCAGTGAGCCTGCATGCACCGCAGTGCCATGGGTGCATGCAGCGTGCAATGCTGCGTGCAGCAGCAAAGCTTGCCATCCATGACAGAGCCCTTTGATTCTGATGTGACAACTTTCGTGCCCCAGGCGGCCAGACCTGAGTGCATGCTGGCAGGTGATGCGCAAACGGGACTTGATTCGGAAGAACCTCGTGGAGAACGCATGTTTTGAGAAGGAGATCATGTCGTCGGCCAACAACCCCTTCATTGTGCGCTCCTACTATTCCTTCACATCCAAGGACAATTTATACATCGTCATGGAGTACATCAGCGGAGGGGACACCGCGAGCCTGCTGCGCAGCATGGGCGCGCTTGACGAGGGGGTCGCGCGGCAGTACATCGCTGAGACCGTGCTGGTGCGCGCTTCGTCTGCCATTTGCCATTGTTACCCGAGTGCATGTGTAAGTTTTGGTGCCTTCTGCAGAACGGTTCTGATAAGGATTACTGCTGTGTTTGACTTCAGGCGCTAGAGTGGTGTCATCAGCAAGGCATCATCCACAGGTATGTTGATCGGGCAATCTTGGATTTTTAATGAGGCGTCAGAAGCTTCCTGTGTCCATCAAAGTGCCAGCTGAAGTCCTCTGGCTTGCAGGGATGTTAAGCCTGACAATCTGCTGATATCAGCCAGCGGACACATCAAAGCCACGGATTTCGGTCTCAGTTGTGTTGGTGTGGTTGACCGTGCGGACGAGCTGGTCGGCGAGCTGCAGATCATGTGCGTGCAGGATCATGCTCGCTATTTACAATTGAAAAAACATGCATGTGGCATGTGCACTGAGATGTATTCCATGTGAGGCAACGACTAAAACCGAGTGTGTTCACTGGGGGAACAGGGACAGTGACAGTGGGCAGAGCACGCCGCGCAGCATGAGCACGTCCGCGGCATCCTCCCCGCTGCGCTTTGCCTCCTTTGATGGGCAGGCGGCCGTGCGGCTGCGCCTGTCTGATGACGGCCAGCGCCGAACACGCCTGCGCACCTCCGACACCGGCAGCGGTGGGGCCTCCCATAGCTTGTGGGGCAGGCGCAAACATTACAAAGGAACACATGCCTTGCAAGCTTCAACACACGTGCACCTTTGATCTGCGTGCTGGAGGTGAATTTGGCTGTGTGTGCACAGCGGCTGGCGAGAGCGCCAGGATCAGAGAGGCACTGTCTTCCGCGCTGTCTCCTGTGAAGCTGGGCATGGATGCTGCGCTGTCCGCTCCCTCCTATGAGCGCCGCCACGCTGTGGGCACGCCTGACTACCTGGCTCCTGAGTTGCTGCTGGGTGCGCTCCAGCTCTCACAAAAACAGCCTCTTGGCTGCTGTCACATCTGTTGCAGGATCGTATGTGAAATTTCTTGTAAGGCCCCAGATGTATCACTGAGGTGTGTGCCTGGCAGGCACGGGGCATGGGAGCGAGGTTGACTGGTGGAGCCTCGGCGTGGTTCTGTATGAGTTTGTCACTGGCATGCCGCCGTTCAACGCAGACTCACCTGAGGTGCGCTCCAGGGCGCTGATGTGGCTGCATGTTAGTGATCGGGGTGTGCATGCGTCTGCTGCCCAAGCCACACTTGAATCTGCGCAACAAGAACCCGATTGAAGGCAAAGGTCAATGTTGTTTGGGTGCGCGCCCAGGAAATCTTCGACAACATCCTGAACAGGCGCATCGAGTGGCCAGACAGTGGCATGTCTGCGGAGTGCCGTGACCTGATCGATCAGCTGATCCAGCCGGACTCGGAGCTGCGCCTCGGCCACTGTGGCTCCTCAGAGATCAAGGCACACCCTTGGTTCGGTGGCCTGGATTGGGACAACCTGGCGCAGGCCAAAGCCGTCTTCATACCTCACCTCGAGTCCGACACCGACACGACCTACTTTGCTCCAAAACAGGTCCTGACCCTAAGCATGTCCTTTGTTTACTTATATGCAGATCAGCTTGCTGCTGTTCATGTGCATTGTGGCTATAGTTGATTGTGTCTGCTCTTGCAGGTGTCCCTGCACAGCATGACGCTGGACATTCAGAGCAGTGCGGCTGTGTCACAGTCGTCCTTCTCGCCCCGGGGTGAGGGTTCCGTGACATCTTCTCAGAGTACCAGGACTCAGCCAGGTGTGTCTTCATTGTGAGCATATCATTTGCCGTTGCTCTTTGTGTGTGATCGAAGCCCACCTCGAATGTATGGCCCATGTGTTTGTTGGGAAGGAAATCTTTCAGAAAGATCTGCTTGTGTTGTTCAGGTCCATGCACAAATGTATCTCGCCCTCCACTCCCTGAAAGCAATGGGCGTCATGACGAATGCGGTAGTGGCATGGGAAGCGATGAAGACCAGGAGGAGGTAAGCTGGCATGCTGACATACATAGTGATTGAATGACTTATCGAATGCTATCCATAGCCAGTCACCTGCAATTCAGGGTTATCAATCCGGGTTGCTTATTTTACAGAGACGAAGATGAATTGGACGTGTCTGAAGTGAGCAATTCGCCCTCCTGCAGGAGGCTGAGGCAATGGCACAGCTCGCACCACGAGAAGAATGTTCCAGCAGCGGGGCTACAGTGATGGTTGATTGGCGGAGCAGTGGGTCTCACGAAGGCAGTCAAGAGGAAGATTCTTCTGCCTTAAATCCAGAGCACTTTCTCAACTTCAGTTTCAAGAACCTGGAGCTGCTCGGCGAGCGAAATCTGGAAATGGCAGAATCTTCTTTTGATGAATTGCGAACAGAGTTTGCCAGTACAGATCCTTATGATTAAAACTCTTGCTTGGCACTTTCTAGCACACTCTGCTCCCTGAGATGATTAGCATATTATTACAAATTCATGCTTGAGGACAGAGGACGGGCAGGAGCCAGATAGGAAAACCAAAATTGCGTTTGTAGACAAGCTACCGTGCAATATCCGCACTCATCAGATCCAAGCAACTAATTCTCATTCTTTTGCACAAACTGCATTGGTGCAGCACTGGGACATTATTGGGCGGCCCTCGCACAATACGCGGCACCATTAACAGAAGAGGAGGACTTACTACTCCACGTCACTCAGGCATTTCTGTTCCCTATTGAGACCTTGGGACAGCCCGGCCTGTTTCCATTGTGTTGCCCCTTGAAGAACTGGGATCAGCGTCTGCGTCTCCATCTTCAACCCTACTCCAATACCAGTGAAAAATCGTCCTACCATCGACACAAAAAGTGGAGGCTTGCATTGCGCGCTAGTCAGGCAAGCAGGCGTCTGCCAGAACCTGCTAGGCAGAGCATACGTTGCCAACCAAGATAAGTTCTTATCGTGTCCTACCTTCATAGCCAGTCAGCCGGATCGGCGTGCTGATGCATCATTTCGTTTTACAATTCCAGCAGTTTGAGGCCTAGGTTTGATACTGCGGTTTCCAATCCCGCCCCTTCTTAGTGGTGTCGGGTCCGAACGTGATCCTTGTTTTCTTGACTGGCAGCCAAGCCTCCATGAACAGCTTTGCCTTCCAGGATTGTTCCGTTATTGGTTGCCTGCAGTGCACGTGATTGCTTGCCTGTGATTGTTGCTTGCCTGCTTTGCTGTGCCCCCTGCCTCCAGATGCAATGCCGTAGGCTTGCCCCGTGGGTCCTCCAACGTCACCCGAGGGGTGTTGCGTTGCCGGCGGGCTGGAGTGCGCCTTTAGGGATGAGGTCACCCCCTGGTGCTTGGGACAAGTTCATGCCTGTCAGCGGTTTGCCTTCATGATTGCGCTTCTCTATGGGCACGCGCTCTCGCACCATCCGAACCGGATGCTCCGGGCCGCGCACGACATCGCGCAGGTGGCTGATCCTGACCAGGCCAAGCCTGGCCCAGTCCTCCCAGGCAAAGGGCTGCCTGACTGCATCCGTGAGCTGCCTGTTGAAGAACAGTGGCTCACCCATGACTGCGTCGTAGCCGATCGCTTCCGGCTTCCGCAGGTGATGGGGCCGCAGCTGCTGGTAGGCATGCAGGTACTGCCGTACGCGCTGCGGGGCCTCCACATGCTTCGCTGCAAAGGTGGAGAAGAGCAGGAATCTTCCCAGCTGCCAGATGTGCTGCCGCCGCGCTGACACCGTGCCGGGTTCCTGCGCTGCCAGCCAGGCTGTGCTCCTGTACAGCCAGTGGTCGAAGTAGGCCTTCCAGGCCAGCTGTTCCGGCTCCAACAGCCTGCCCACCACCTTGGCCTGGAGAGCCAGGATCTGGGCCTTGATGTCCACCAGCGCGATGCCGCCGTGTGCGGCCGCGCGGAAGCAGACGTCCTTTTTTTTTTTTTTTTTTTTTTTAAAAGGGGAAGCCCCCGCTATTACACAGGTGCCAGTCGCACGCTTCCCAGCACGCATGCAATAGGATATTTGGGGAAACCTGTCAGAGTTGGGGCACGCAGAGCACTCCCGCAGGAGGATAATGCGATACTTAAGAGAAGCGCAAGCATGAAGGCATACCACAGAAAGGCAACAGAAAGGCTCCTAGCGATGGACATGTCCCAAGCACCAGAGGGTAACCTCATCCCCAGAGGCGCACTCCAGCCCGCCGGCAACGCAACATATCGTTATGCATGTGTTCTGGAAAGCGTGCGACCAGCATGCGTGTGTAAGCGAGGTTCCTCCTTTCAATATATATATAGATGTCCAGTGAAACTGTCGGTTCACGGTGGAGGTGACCAAAATATGAGAAGAAACGAGCGGGTGTCATGGGAAAAGGCCAGGAGAGCATGGTCATACAGAGTGCCTGGCTTAGGCCAAGGCAGTCCACCTGGATAAGGCCAAGGCAGCAGCAGCGGCGGCCGCAGGAGCACAGGACACACAGGCCAGAAGGACCGCCGGCACGGCGGCCCTCGCCGCAATGAGCCGCCGGCGCTCGGCCCCCCTGCGCCTTCTCAGCCTCAACGTCAACGGCCTTTGGGACAAAGACAAGAGGCGCTGCCTCTTCAACCTATGGAGCGTGACAAGTGGGACGTCGTCCTCGTCCAGGAGACCCACCACAACTCAGCAGAGGAGGGGGCAGCTTGGGCGCAGGAGGAGCTCAACGGGCTCCGCTGCACTTGGAGCGGGCCCGCGTTCTGGTGCCATTACACCTCCCAGTCCCGCGGCGTAGCGGTCCTCTTCAGGGCCACAGCCCGCACATCAGACATCACAGCGCGCAGCAGCAGCGCGTCAGGCCGCACATCTCCTCGTGGACTTCACATTCAACGGGCAGCCGTATACGGTCGCATATATTTACGCGCCTGCAGCGGCCGCAGAGCGGCCGCACTACTACACGCAGGAGTTGCTTACCAGCTTGCCAGCGGACAGGCAGCTTCTGGTGGGTGGGGACTTCAACTGCATCGCTGGCCAGAGGGACATGCTGGACCCTGCCGGGCATCCCGGCCAGCGGACGCAGGGATACTGGACCGGCCTGCGGCGTGTCGAGATGGATCACCGGCTCCACGATGTCTGGCGGGACCTTCACCCCAGCGGGCGTGCCTTCACCCACATAGTTACCTCCGGCCAGTCAGCAGCGCGGCTGGATCGCTGGCTGATATCGGAGCAGCTGCGCGCCAGAGTCAGCCGGGAGCCGCGCGCGATGGGTCAGGTGGTGGGCTACCCAGGAGACCACCTGGGAGTCAGCCTGAGCCTCACCTCACCAGCCAGCAAACTACACGGCTCTGCAGCCTGGAGGCTGCCTCTCCAGCTTCTGGATGATCAGCCGTTCTGTGAGCGCATCGCAGCGGAGATCCCAGCATACCTTGCCGACATGCCCACTTGGAGATATCAGTCACTCGGGGCAGCCGCTGACCTCAAGCGGCAGGTGAAGGCCTCAGGGTTCAATGTCCCTTAATGCATACCGATACCGATCGAATCCAACAGTGACAACATAGGATTCCGGGCAGCGCACAGTTCCCTGAGTTCTCAGCTGCAGGCTGTAGAATCACAGTTCAGTTTCACAGTTTATGTCCCGTTTGAATTCGTATTTTGGCCTCTGCCTAAATAGCTCCAGGTAGAGGGACGCTGTTGCAGACAGGCGTCGTGTTGTCTTAGGCAGTTTGCGCTCCAGCAGAGCTTCAACTGTGCAGCGCCACTGTGTGCTGCCCGGAATCCTATGATGTCACTGGTGGATTCGATCGGTATCGGTATGCCTTATGCATTTTTTTTTTTTTTTTTTTTTAAAAGGGGAAGCCCCCGCTATTACACAGGTGCCAGTCGCACGCTTCCCAGCACGCATGCAATAGGATATTTGGGGAAACCTGTCAGAGTTGGGGCACGCAGAGCACTCCCGCAGGAGGATAATGCGATACTGAAGAGAAGCGCAAGCATGAAGGCATACCACAGAAAGGCAACAGAAAGGCTCCTAGCGATGGACATGTCCCAAGCACCAGAGGGTAACCTCATCCCCAGAGGCGCACTCCAGCCCGCCGGCAACGCAACACCGCTGAGGTGACGTTGGAGGACCCACGGGGCAAGCCTAGGGCTTGCAGCTGGAGGCAGGGGTCACAGCAAAGCAGGCAATCATCAATCACTGGCAGGCAATTATGGATGTGCGGGCAACCAGTGGTGGAACAGACATGAAAGGCACGTTTATACGGTTGGCCGACAGGGATGGAACAGGATCGCGTTCGGACCCATTACCACTAGGTGCCGCTCGGGGCTGGCAATGTGACCCTAAACTATGCCTCAATCTGCCAGCAAGGTGGGGCACAAGCAAACGGTGGCATATGGGAGATATGAAGCCGCAAATGAGGCGAAAAACAGGTAGGCTGGTGAGAACTCGACCAGATACACACACCCACCACATTGGAGGCGGGGATAGGCAGGAGGCATCATGTCCAAGGTCCTAGACACCCGCTCAGGTTCAAGGGTGGATACTGGGGTTGGAAACCCTAAACCCTTCAGATAGCCTTCAATGAACTACTGTGAATGGTGAGGAGGACAGACACTAAGGCAGAAGGCCACGGATGACAGGCCAAGGGGATTGTTGGGGCTGCTGGTGAGACAGAAACATCGGAGGATCACTGGAAAACTTTTTTTTTTTTTTTTTTTTTTTTTTTTAAAAGGGGAAGCCCCCGCTATTACACAGGTGCCAGTCGCACGCTTCCCAGCACGCATGCAATAGGATATTTGGGGAAACCTGTCAGAGTTGGGGCACGCAGAGCACTCCCGCAGGAGGATAATGCGATACCTAAGAGAAGCGCAAGCATGAAGGCATACCACAGAAAGGCAACAGAAAGGCTCCTAGCGATGGACATGTCCCAAGCACCAGAGGGTAACCTCATCCCCAGAGGCGCACTCCAGCCCGCCGGCAACGCAACACCGCTGAGGTGACGTTGGAGGACCCACGGGGCAAGCCTAGGGCTTGCAGCTGGAGGCAGGGGTCACAGCAAAGCAGGCAATCATCAATCACTGGCAGGCAATTATGGATGTGCGGGCAACCAGTGGTGGAACAGACATGAAAGGCACGTTTATACGGTTGGCCGACAGGGATGGAACAGGATCGCGTTCGGACCCATTACCACTAGGTGCCGCTCGGGGCTGGCAATGTGACCCTAAACTATGCCTCAATCTGCCAGCAAGGTGGGGCACAAGCAAACGGTGGCATATGGGAGATATGAAGCCGCAAATGAGGCGAAAAACAGGTAGGCTGGCGAGAACTCGACCAGATACACACACCCACCACATCGGAGGCGGGGATAGGCAGGAGGCATCATGTCCAAGGTCCTAGACACCCGCTCAGGTTCAAAGGTGGATGCTGGGCTTGGAAACCCTAAACCCTTCAGATAGCCTTCAATGAACTACTGTGAATGGTGAGGAGGACAGACACTAAGGCAAAAGGCCACGGATGACAGGCCAAGGGGATTGTTGGGGCTGCTGGTGAGACAGAAACATCGGAGGATCATTGGAAAACTATTGATAGCCTAAAGCCCTGGGCAGGGTGGTCTTCTGTAAGCTCGCGCCAACGCTCCGGCTCTCCGGCACGGTACTCCACAGGTAGCGGGGCGCACGATGGATCCGTCTGGCCGAGGGATACCCAAGGGGTGAGCCGCGCAAACACGTCCGGTGGTGGGCGAGGCCACCGGCACTGGGTGGCGAGGCCAGTGCCCCAGGGGTGAAGGAGGCACCCCCGGGGCCGTGTTGGGCCGAGCTCGACAGGTCCCTCGACCAGTGGAAGCACGTGACTCAGAGCCCCATTCCGCGCTGGCAAAGGTTAGAGGTAGGAGAGGCGCAAAGCTTCTGGTAGGCAATCTGTGGTCCCAGGGCTCTAAGGCAAAAGGGGTCTTTTTTTTTTTTTTTTTTTTTTTTTTTTTTTTTTTTTTTTGCCAGATAAATTACAGAACAAAACATGCATGGCACTACAGTACACAATTTATTGTGGCATAAAAGAGCTTCTGAGGCGACTGAAGACACTTTGCACCTCTGTGTCAGAATTCAAATCCAGCATCTGTTTGGCATATATCATGTTGCCTTCTCTCTTCTCCAGGGCATACAGCAATTCCTTGTAGGCCAAATTATCCTGCTCTTTGGGATCATAGATAGCAAAGATGACGTCCACCAAGTCCTCAGCAAGTGTGTCTCCCAGGATCTTGGCCACAGCGCGTTGGAAATCGGCGCGGCCTATCCGGTCCGTTGTGGAGTAGAAGAAATCCAGGGCAACCGCCAGTTTGTGCACATTTTGTCGCAGTTGTGCAAACTGCTGGAACTCTGCCCATGTCACCTTCAAGGCCTTGATCTTATCAGGTAAATTGTCAATTCTGCTCAGGAAGTGGTCCACATTCCGCATGTTGCAATGAGAGACCAGGCTGTGGGCAAAGCTCGTCCCAGATATGTAACCCTGTCCCTTGATGTCATAATGGAGAAACTCCAGCCTTACAAGCTCTGCGTGCAACTCTGTGCAGAACGCTGCAAAATGCTTCAGGTCCAGCTGATCCTGCCCCTTCTTCCCAAAGAAGGTCACCAGCAACCCTTGTGTCTCATCCCCTGTGTCTGTCTGCAGTCCAGTGCGTTGTAGGTGGCTGACCCGCCTCAACCGTAATCTCAGAGCAGTGGTTACTCTCCTGAACTCTTGCAGAGAAATCGCTCCACTGTCATCGTCATCAAACATGGAAAATATGATCTCAACATCCTCCAAGGGAATTGCAAGGAAAGTGACAATCATCAGGTATTCTGTGAAGGAAATGTAGCCGTCGCCATCCGTGTCAAATTGCTTGAAGAAGTCGCTGTTCTTCATTGAATCAGGGATCAGGGAAAACTATTGATAGCCTAAAGCCCTGGGCAGGGTGGTCTTCTGTAAGCTTGCGCCAACGCTCTGGCTCTCCGGCACGGTACTCCACAGGTAGCGGGGCGCACGATGGATCCGTCTGGCCGAGGGATACCCAAGGGGTGAGCCGCGCAAACACATTGCGCATTTTTTTTTTTTTTTTTTATAAAAGGGGAAGCCCCCGCTATTACACAGGTGCCAGTCGCACGCTTCCCAGCACGCATGCAATAGGATATTTGGGGAAACCTGTCAGAGTTGGGGCACGCAGAGCACTCCCGCAGGAGGATAATGCGATACTGAAGAGAAGCGCAAGCATGAAGGCATACCACAGAAAGGCAACAGAAAGGCTCCTAGCGATGGACATGTCCCAAGCACCAGAGGGTAACCTCATCCCCAGAGGCGCACTCCAGCCCGCCGGCAACGCAACACCGCTGAGGTGACGTTGGAGGACCCACGGGGCAAGCCTAGGGCTTGCAGCTGGAGGCAGGGGTCACAGCAAAGCAGGCAATCATCAATCACTGGCAGGCAATTATGGATGTGCGGGCAACCAGTGGTGGAACAGACATGAAAGGCACGTTTATACGGTTGGCCGACAGGGATGGAACAGGATCGCGTTCGGACCCATTACCACTAGGTGCCGCTCGGGGCTGGCAATGTGACCCTAAACTATGCCTCAATCTGCCAGCAAGGTGGGGCACAAGCAAACGGTGGCATATGGGAGATATGAAGCCGCAAATGAGGCGAAAAACAGGTAGGCTGGCGAGAACTCGACCAGATACACACACCCACCACATCGGAGGCGGGGATAGGCAGGAGGCATCATGTCCAAGGTCCTAGACACCCGCTCAGGTTCAAAGGTGGATGCTGGGCTTGGAAACCCTAAACCCTTCAGATAGCCTTCAATGAACTACTGTGAATGGTGAGGAGGACAGACACTAAGGCAAAAGGCCACGGATGACAGGCCAAGGGGATTGTTGGGGCTGCTGGTGAGACAGCCACATCGGAGGATCATTGGAAAACTATTGATAGCC